ATGTACCAGAAAGGAGATTGCGAGCGGACAATTGAGTTGCTGAACACGCGCCATTTTAGCTGGAGATAGGAGAGTATAATGAAGCTTCTATGTTTATTACAATTAGAGTGACCAATTAAGGACAATAAATTGGTGAACAAATAGTCTCTCTATGGGACTTCACAGTACAAGTGGATGTTGTATCATAGAGCTAATGTGCTACTCTAAAATGGATTATTATCCCAAAGTGTTCTTAAATTCGGTCTGCTTTCAAAAGCCCCGTATTGAGCGTAGAATAGAATAAATAACTATAAATTTTATATTTAAAAGCTTAAAATAAATATTCTATACATACTATTTTTACAATGTGTCTCTACAAAACAGTATCGTTTGTTTGGCCTAAACTGATCTCACCTTCTATCTTCTTTTTAAGGGCTATGTTGCAAAGTGGCTCGGTAACCAATATCTTGTCTATGGCGGATGCAACTCAAATATGCTGAAAATCATAGATCGGAGCACACTAAATGTGAGTCTATGGGCTAATAAAAATTGATTAAATCTGCATAATTCAGTACATAGCAGAGGTTATTTCTATTAAACAATAAAAGTAATAATAGAATTATAGTATGGAACACTTTATATAAACAAGGTCAACTTATTCATTCACTCTTGGCCATCTTTGACCACATAATAATGGAATATATTCAAATATTGTTGCTTACATTAATGGATCAGATGGAATTAGCCTGAGCTAAACAGTGTCCAATCAAATTGGGGTAAGCTATGTTACACTTGTTTGCCTAATTTTTGCAACTCAGTGACCATGTTGCCCATTGTTGTCGTGACTTCTTCAAGTATCGGACCTTTGACTGTGTACATTCCCAGAAAATTTATGGTTGCGAAAACAGAATCGTCGTTCAGTAAAACTGGGTTTGGCATTGAGATACTACTCATTGGAGTTGTAGGTAAAGTACATCTACTGGACCAATTTTGTAATAAAATATTGCAGCATCTCTTGTCAAACCTATCCTCTTATATTTACTGTCCCATAAAGTTTATACTCATCCTTTACTCTCTCTTAACATGGCCAAGTATCCTACCTACCTCGGAATGTCCACTTGATCTTTTAGGTAGATCACAGTTATGCGTACCTTCTAGTGTATAGTACCTTCTAGTATATAAGCCGATCCTTATTCTCCTCAAAAATTGGTATACTGCAGTCTTCACCATTTGTGTTTTGATCGAAAAGCTAATAACATTTTCACCTCCTGAAGAGTGATAATATGAATAGAATTTTGTCTTTGTAACTATTACCAAAACAATGCCCATACTATCCTGGTGTTAAAATTTATAAAAGTTAAACTAGGCTAAGATAAAGATTCGGATTTATATTTATATTTAGATTAAGATTTGATAAAAATATATTGAATTTTACTGGATTAGAGAGGAGGGCTTTTTATAAAATTATAATACTGATTAATTGACTTAATATTCAGGTCTTTTATGTTAATAATCTCTGTGCGCAATAATTTATTGACCTCAGATTCAATTTATTTCATTATTTTTGTAATAATTATAAATTATAATTTGTTAAAATATCATTTTGCATCATTTTAATATTACCTAAATATATTGGACTACATTCATTATGCGAAGGTTTGAAGACCACTGGCAGTACACTGGCTAACTCATAAGCATGGCCCATGAAGTGAAGGCCTGACTACAAGAACTATCCGGTGGACATACCATACGGTATGTGCAAGAGAGTATATGAGATGTAGAAGCTGAAATTATTTTCCCATCCAGATTGAGAATCAAGAATTTGGGGTCTTTTTCAGTGAGGCTGGAGGATACGTGTTATCAAAGGCCTGATTCAGAGTGTAGGACATAACGCCTCGAGTAACACGGATCAGGTGGTAGTGATCGAGTAAAATCACCGAATCGGGCAGATAAGAGTCGGAAATGGAGGCTATAATGGGACCTAAATAAAGAGGATTTTAAACTAATAAGTGCAGAATTGGATCAAAATTCCAAATACAGTGGAGAGTAATGAGGGCACTAGACGTCTTTACTTGGTTTCCGATTTTTACTTTCTGGTCTTCTTGTGATTTTTTTCCTGAAATTAAAAATAATGACTTGATCTGATCATCTTCAAATCTTCTGTTCATTAGATTTCTTCCAGTTTGAATATCAATGGCCTCTCAGATCTTGCGTTTTTTCGTATTTTTCACATATAAGCAGAGTTTCGAGACTAACAGTAGATCAGTAGTATGAGATGTATTCACCCCATTTAGTTTAAGGTGATGAAAAACTGGTAATAGAATTTTCCCACAATGATATGAGTAGAGCTGGCGTTTCCATTGAATTTCACATAGCATTGCTTTCCCAAAGGTTGTCTTCATTTAGGCAGAAGTGGACTGCAGTTTCGACCCCGCATAGGTCCTTCCTTGAAACACACATCTGCCCTGTGACCGAAGGGCACTGTGGAAATGTCGTGGAGGGGCTAAGGTGTCGTAATTACATGCTGCACTGGGATGGTTCGACTCCCGCTGGGTATGTTGATAAGACACAGGCAAGGTCAAAACTGCAGTCCACTGGTGCCTGGATGAGAAGAACTTTTGGGAAAGCAAGGCTATATGAAAGCCAATGGAAACGTCAGTTCTACTCATATCATTGTGTGAAAAATCCTTTGTCACCTTAAATGAAATAGGATGAATACATTCATGCATTTTGACCATATGCAGCCATGCTTTTTGTCGATGTCCAGTCAATTTCGTGTCCCGCCCGTGCAATGTGTTCCGCTAGTTCGCCTCTTTCTTGTCCCATGTTTCTGTAGGCTCTTTGATGTTCCTTGATTCATAGGCTAATTTTTCTTCCTGTTCACATTTGGCATTTTGTGCGATACATTCTTACGCATGCCAGCACTCGCAATCGACAGAAAATGAAAAGAAATCACGGTTGCATATGGTGAAAATACGATAAAACGAAAGATCAGAGAGACCATCAATATTCTAAAAGTAATAATTCTAATTATCAGGACATTTGAAGAAAGCAGGATCAGCGAAAACTTTGCCTATTGCATGAGCAAACTCGGAGAAGGCAAGTAAGATCAGCAAAAAAAGACGACTAGATCAAGGTAAAATCGTTAATTGTAGGCAAAAAAATCGCAAGTTGACCAGAAAGGAACAATAAAAAACCAAGTGGAGACGTCTACAGGGCTTGAAGCAGAGTTTGTGAAATCACGCCTCGAGTAGCACAGATACAGTGGCAGTGGTCGGGTGGAATCCTTGAACCATGGCGATAAGAGACGGATCCTACGGAGGAAGAGGGCGACTCTGATATGAACTATGGGAAGATGATTGCGGATTAATACGACAGACTCAGATCAACATTTCCAGCACAATTGAGGAGGGGTGGAGGTGAGAAACTCAAGTTGGGTCTCATTAAATCCGCTTACAAAATATCCCACAAGAACCAGGTTTGAATAATTAAGCAAGGAATTGTGATATTGAAAGAGTGATACGAGGATGTATGATAAGTAAAGACCCCAGGACAGAAGGAGAGATACCACGACTTTCTATCAGATAATTGGTCCAAGGATCGACTTCACTTGTCACGTTGACGAGATGCGTTGTGATGTCAAGACTGGCAAGGCTTACTGTCGATGCCAACGAAACGTCTGGGAATGTACCAAACCAACGGTCCTACTCTGGAAATGATCATATATACTTTGGACTCCGGAATAGGTGCGTTTCTCCAAGTCTTTCTACCAATATGCCCAATAAGGTCCAGCAAATTTTATACAATGACAAAAGACTAAGGCCATACAAAAGTCACAACATCTTGGTCTTTATACCTTCGATTAAACTATAGAATGTAAACTGAAGGTATGAAAACTAAGATGGTGTGGCCTTTTGTATGGTCGCAGTCTCCTTTCGTTGCATAGATGCTGTATGACCTTGTTTTAGCAACTTTGTCATATTGGTAGAAAGACATAGATGAGCACACCTAGTCGGGAGTCCATTGTATACATCATTTCCAAAGTCGGATCGTGGACGTGGTACATTCCCAGACGTTTCGCCGGCATCTTCAGTAAGTCTCGCCATTCTTAGCACCACACAACAACTCGTCAAAGAGACAAGTGAAGCCGATCCTTTGACCAAACGCGTTGTGGTATCTTCCTTTCTGCCATGGCCTATTCACATTTCCTATATCCTCCTATCACACCTTCACTGTAACAATTTGTACCGTGCTTATTTCGATGTAGTGTGGTGTGCTCCTTTGAGCGGCATTCACGAAAACCCTTCACACTCCACGCTGTCGTTCTCACCCCCTTCACCCTTGTGCTGGGAATGTTGATCAGAGTCTGTCATAGTGTTACGCAGTCCTACTTCCCTAGGTCTTATCACAGTCTCTCTCTTGCCTGTAGAATGTAAAGCCGTGATTTAATAATTCATAAGCTTTAGATGATGCCCCTGCCAATATTCTATATTATTGGATAGGAATCGTGTGTGATGTGATTTTGGCTTTATAAGTGGTCTTAAAATAACTATACAATCTACTCTTCGAAAAAGCAATAGATCCTCTAGAATCTTGAATATGGTGGGCTGGCATGCATCGTTAACCAATTAGGGTTAAGCCATATTGTGAGAAGCCATGTTAATAGAGAATTTAGATTAAATTGTAAATTTGGACCTATTGTTAGGGTAAAGGTGAAAGACAATAGGAAAATGGCAATAAGAATGAACACTAATCTAGCGACAACAAAGCTTAATAAAATGAAACGTCCGTCAAAATGTATTAAGTTGACTTTTTCACCAAGTATATATGAATTGACATGTTCTTTCATGGATGAATCAAATGCCGCAATGCACGGTAACCAGTTGACCCTTAATGAAAAATCAAGAAATTAATTGCAAATGAGTAAAGGATTTCATTTTTCTCTTGATCTCAAACTAATCACTATTAATTCCGTTCCGTCTCTAAGCTCTACTTATATACGATAAATGATCACTAGTACTCATACCTATCTACGTAATCGGCTCAAGGATATTATTCCGCTAAATCTACTGCTCCAACTATCCCACATGGTAAACAACATGCAAAAGGGCAACTGGTCGTAGAATCACTAACCTTTCAGCATCAAGGTTAAAGACTAGCTCAGGAAACCATTAGCTCAAACTTTGTCATGTTGTGATGAGCAGCACAATTTAGATCGAGATAAGATATAGTCTGGTTCACGTTGGGAGTAATAGAACAAGGAATCCTATGAATAGATTAGTAGATTTTTCAATAAAAATGATAATGGTCATGCATTCCACTTGAAAAAGATACAATAAAGAAATCTTGAATAATGTCTGAAATAGCGTTATAAGTAATAATTTTTAGCTTGTAAGTAGGCTTTAGAGGCTACCAGTAAATCGGCTATATGGGATATTTTCACCCTATTTCAATGTGAAATTAAATGTACACGCAAGGTCTACTAATAGCATTGTGGGAAAATTCAAT